TGCGTGCCCTAAGAGTCAAAAATGTGTCGCGATCAATATGCAGGAGCAAGGTCGTCTCTGCAGCCACAACCGAAGCTGTACGCTGTTGCCCTTCTAGCAACATGCCAACATCGCCAAACACCTCGTACTCGTTATGGTCCGCACGACGTATGTAGCATCGTGCGACAAATTTAGCCTCCCACCAGGATTTAGAAAGCTTGATTGTACGCGAGCGCGATTCATAATCTCCTCAAACTCATTCAGTGTGGGTGCTGCCATACGCGAAAAATCCATGACGACACTCATAGTGCCAAACATGATGCAGTAAAATGTATCTGCGCGGTCTCCGATTCGAAATAGGACTTCTCCATTTCCCAACTCAATGCCTTTTGCCGCCCTCAGAAACTTTAAACGATCTTCAAACGGAAGCTCTCGGAAGAACTTGACACGCTGGACTAATACACAAATTGTGTAGTAGATTGTTGTCGCTTCAAATAGACTAAATCACTTACCATAATTGTCTAGAAACTTGTAATCAGCTTCACACCGTGCAGATTCGGGAAGGAGCAAAATGTGTCTCAATTTGGTTTGTACTCCTGGAATTTCGTAAATTGGATGCTCACTCAGACTGACATTATCTGATATCCTGGAGCAATTCATTTCATATTAGTCGCTATTTAATACGCTTAGAGTTGTTGCATTTCATTCGAAAATAGTTCGTTCATGTTGCTAAACAATGTAACCCACACAAAGTTTCGGCATTGCGCAGTATTCGCACCTCAACAGTGTTCGAGCACGAAGTCGTAAAATACTGCTCCTTTTCCCATCACTTGGTCATTTACCGTGTTGGCACTAAGCAAGAAGCAGAGAAGCAGCAAGAAGAAGAAGGCGACGACCGAGGTGACGCAGCCAGCGAGTTACGAGGAACAACTATCTAATCATGCTTGATCTTGACTATATGTAGATGCGTCAAGAACCCGAAGAAAACGAAGCAACAGGCACCTGCGCGAATGAAAGAAACAGCACATCGAACTTGCACTTTCTTCCAGTAAATGCCGCGAAGCTGACGCAGTCGTTGATCGGATTGAATGACGAGCAGCGCCAAGTTCTTGAGAAAGAGCTTAACCGAACTGATGAACATCCTCTTCTGGTCCTCCGCTTCAATCT